TTTTTAAAGCTACTGTTTTGTACATGATTTCGCTGAAAATGGATTTAGTCATGCTAGTCCCCCATGGGTGAGGGACTGTTTTTTTTTTAATAACCTGTAGGAGTACGGTGCTCCCCCCAGCCTGATGTGGGGAAACCATCCGCTAGCTGAGCTGCATAGCTTACGGCCGCACGTGAGCGACTCCCGCCGCGAATGAGCAGCCAGGCGCCTCGATGCTGGAACATCCCGCTTTATTGCACCATTTCATGACACGTTTTTGAGTTGTGAGTCCCAAACCCGTTAAAGGGGCTTTTGTGGAAAAAACGATTTTCTAACTTTGCAGTGCAGTGTTAAATACTCAACTGGCATCTACTTGGATAAGGTCACATGTCCACCGTTAATTAGTATTACATGGTACAACGTGTCGGGGAGTAATTTGTGTTCAAACAAATGATGATTCACATATATATATGCAAAATCATACGCAGAACCTGGGCATTTGGAGCATTTACAACTAATAAATAAATAAATAAATATATATTTTTTAGTTGTAAATGCTCCAAATGCCCAGGTTCTGCGTATGATTTTGCATTGAGGAGGCTGCCCTGAATGCCAGGCAAGGCTTCCTGCTGTGTGAGTCAGCACATCCTTAGAACTCCCTCAAAGCTCAGTTTGTATCTCAGGCTCAGCAGATGTGTCATATATGTGGCAGTGGCGCTGCCAAGCATGTTGCGTGTCTGTGTGACCCACCCTGAATAGGACCACATCTAGAACAGTGAGAAGCCGGTTTGCTTATTGCCTAATAGGAGGGTGAGTCATTCTGGTGCCACAGAATCTTGAAAGAAGTTGAAATTTGCACATTACACCTAGACTGGCGGGGAGAACCTGGGAGAATGTGGTCAGGGTTAGCTGCCGTCTGCAGGACGATGCTGGAAAGGTGGTGACGGCTCTGGGTAAGACTGCTACTGGTTCAAGTCCGGCGCGGTGGGAATCGGCGGTAAGGGAGAGCGGCAACCATGGCTAATTTCAGAGGCCGATGCCTCTGGAAAGAGGGCCGTAGTTTGGAGGCACGTCTTGGAATTGTAGCTCGAGGTCCACCCTGTTGACGTATGGTGTTTGGATTACCAGTCCAGCTGGATTTCACCACACCCGCACTCCAGGGTGATGTCGTGTACCCTGGAGTACGGCTTATCCCTGGGTGTGGCTGTCGAGAGTTTGGGACGTCGATCGATCCAACCCATGTGTCGAAAGCCGACGGTGGATCTTTTGTGTTCTCCTCCAGGCCTCTTTCATAATCTTTTCCTGGAAACGGGTGGGTGGCATTTTTTAATGTACTTCAAAGCCAATGGTAGCCCTGGATTTTTTGTTTTTCGTGACATTAGAGCCGTAGTCTGCAGATGTTATCGGGCTTATCAGTTGCCTGTAGCTAGCATGCTGATACAGGTCCTGAAGTAGAGAGATACTTGTCAGGCACTCCTGTGGTCGTTTTCTGAAAGTTTCCGGGTTGTTGGTATTCCGTGAGCCCTTTACAAACATTTGCGCGGCATGCCAATCCTGCTAGTGTGTAGATTCTGGAATATTCCTTTTACACGTGGTGCTACCTTGCTGATATTAGAGAAGCGATTTTAACTGTAAAGAGAGGCAGGAAAAGGACATGGTAGATTAATCATCTCGGTCACTAATAACTTGAGTTCAGGCTAAGCTCTGAAGCACCTTGCAGCGATAATATGAGGATATTTTTGACTATAATATCTAGGGTGTCCCCACAGCATTTAATTAGTGGTGAATAGTTAGTGGTTTAAGGCAATGTTTCCCAGTTTGGTCATCAGGGACCCACAGACAGTCCACAAATGCGAACTGTCTGGCAGGGATCTCGGAGGGAGCAAAAAACGTAGACCAACTGTGGGTCTCCGAGGACCGGGTTGGGAAACACTGGTTTAAGGGTGTCAATGACAATATAATGGGAGCGAGTGGGAAGTGCACACAAAAACGCAGCCGTATGTGCTTCGAGAGAGAGAAGCAAACAGGATCAGCCCCCGCCTTGAGGGCCTTGAGATTTGAGGAAGCGCAGGCCTGGCTTCCATCAAGCGACGGCTTTTCCAGGGGAAGCTCTCTGGCGTGGCGAGCCGGCGGAGCGGGTACGCCCGGCGCCTTTCCTCCTAACTGCCAGCCTTGCGCAACCCAAGCAGCTGCGAGGCACCCGGGACCTGCAGACCGTGCCGCGTGTCCGTGAGAGGCTTAGCACACATGGGCTGCGTTTCCATGAAGGGGCCCAGAGGTTGATGGTTGGACCAAACCCATAACCTCCCCCCCCCCCCACCTTGGAAGTCCAGGATTGCTCTGGAGATGCTCCTCTCCTTGTGTTTTTTCCACCAGTCGTTTTTTGGGGACAGGATGTTCCGAGCTTGTGATTCTGCTGATAGAGGAGAGTCTACGACAGAACCGAGCCGCCGGTAATCGGACTTCGGTTTGCTGGTGACATGCAGGTGTTGTTTGGGGGACACAGACATCTGTGTGTGTCACGCCTACAGCCAGAAATATATATATTTTTTTTTAGGGGGGGGGGGGTCAGCAACCCTAGGCTTGGTAGATTATGCAGACAAGGAAGGTTCGAAACCCTAAATCTTCATTACCTGTTTGTCCCTGGGGTGCATGTCTTTGATTCCCCCCCCCCCCCCCCC